TTTCAGTAAGGCTTCAGGCTGAAGAGGACACAGCAGGCTGTGGGCCTGGAGCTCCTGCATGCTCTGGAACCCACAGTCTCTGACTCCGCTCCTCAGCATCTTCCTGGTTGTTCTGAACCATCCACACCCTCTCCTGCTCTGCTAGCTACACCTGGGCCTGGAGGTTACCAGTGGCTCTGCACTCCACGGTGGAGTATGTTTTGGGGGACAGCCACAAAGGTGACCCCTGCCAGGCAGAAGGGACATTTGGTGTAGAAGTGGAAGACATATGAGTCCAAGAAGACCTTGCTGGCAGTTTTTCTTGGCCAGGGTATAACCTCTTTCATATAGGTAGGCAGTGCACACATCTTGCGCCTAACCACACCTTGTTCAGGTGGTCTTTGGGTCATTTGCATCTGGAGATGGTCTGGCCAAAGTATATGAAAACTTCCTGTTGTCTCATCTCTTCCTCTCGCTCTTCTCACAAGCAGCAAAAGAAGCCTAGTCTCAGTGTTCACCCAGTACCTCAGGAAGCTTCTCAGCCCGTCAAAAATGCTGTCACCTGGGGGGGGGTCATGCTGGGAAGGAGACAGGCTGTCAAGATGGTACAAGGTGAACAGACAACAGCTCCTGCGGTGGCCATGCTCAGCCTCTGTGGTGCATTCCTTGTCCTTCTGATGTGGCCACTTTCCCATGGAGCCAGCCTGATGGGACAGTGCAGGCCAAAGGGATAGTCGGTACAGACCAAGGATAGGGTCACGCACTGGAAATCATGGCTGGGAATCAACCTAGGGTTCAATGAGATGGTCTCAACACATCACTTGCTCTGTGACTGTGGGCACATCCTTGACTTTCTCCTCTGAAAAGGAAAGGAACTGGTAGCTTGTCCTGCAGTTGGCACTGTGGGCTCTAGCATGGCTTGGAGTCCCTGCCCCATGCCTCTGCTCCTTCTGAGTGAGGCCCAACTAGGACATTATCCCTGGTGAGGAACTGAAGAACTTCTATCTGTGCGATTCTGGAACACCGAAATGAGTGTTTGCGTGGTTCAGTAGCAAAGTGGTGCCTGAATCCAACTAGTCCAGGGATCTGAGAGGATGTAGGACCCTAGGGCACCAACTGCGGAACAAGTTAGTCCACCTCTAGTGGTGTAGACCATGGTTTCTACATTTTTCTACATCACTGAGTTTCCAGTCAAACAGGAAGTGCTGAAACGGCTGCTTCATCACCCACTGTGCACTCAGTAGATTTCAATTTCAACTGAAGCAATTTAGACAGTAAGGGTCTTTTCCATGGATGACAGCAACAGTACCTTCAGGGTAATCTTATTCTGTCCTTTGTCTTCAAGGGCAACTAAATGATGAAATAATCCCAGGAGGATGGGCCTCTGAGCCTGGGGTGAGGTGTTTGTGTGCATTTGGGATGGGATGAGGTTCTTCCGGCACTCATGTCCTAGCTAGGTATGTCTATACTTATGCCTGTAGGGGACTAGCTTGTGGATCACTACACTGTCTGATGGGCCTAGCTGTATCTCTCTGCTTGTCACTGAACACTCAAGTCACCCTGCTTCCAGACAAGCAGGTTCCTTGTGCCATAGTGGTGGGAAAATAGTAGCCTCTTGTCACCTACCAGCCAACTGAGTTACCATACAACATTTGCACAAGGAAGCCATATTGTAAAAAAAAAAAAAGGACCGCAATCCTAGTAAACCTGCCTTAATGCAGTCACTGTGGAAATACAGTGGTGTCTGTGTGTGTGTGTGTGTGTGTGTGTGTGTGTGTGTGTGTGTGTAAGTAAATGACACACAAGAGAGGAAAAGCCATTTATAGAATGGGAAAAAGTTAGCAAACCATATAGGTGGTAAATAGTTAGCAGTTAAGGAACTCCAACTACTATATAGAACCCCATATAAGGGACTGTAGAAATGGTTCAGTGGTTAAAAGCAATGGCTGTTCTTTTAGAGGACCCAGGTTCAATTCCCAGGACACACATGGAGGCTCTTAACTATCTATAACTCCAGCTCCAGGGGACCTGATACCCTCACACAGACACACATGCAGGTAAAACATCAATGCATATAAAATGGAAAGAAATAAATCATTAAAAAATCTATATAACTCATCAGGAAAACCAAAACTAACCCCATTAAAAAGTAGGTAAAAGACTTGAAAAGAAATTTCTCCAAAGAATGGTGGCTAGTGGATCAGACGCTCGCAGTAACAGGGAGGCAGGTCACACAGGGTGACGAGGCCCTGGAGGACCACAGTGCCTCACCGTGGCATGCCCAGAGTTCACCACGCTGCATTGGGTGCTTACACATTTGTTCAGACTTTGAGTTAAGCATTCTTGCTATAACTGAAAATGTTTAGCGGGGAGTAGGTAATACAGAGCAGAAGTTAATAGAAAACCCAGACGATGCAGAGGACCAGCAAAGCTGAAAGAATTTCCAGGGCACAAACTAATAAAATGGAGCAGTCCTGAGGCATTACTCATGGAAAACAAAAGCACAAACATGCAATATTACAAAAACAGGCGGTGAGAGTGACAGCAGGAGCTGTGGGCTGTGTGGGGATTAACTATGTGAAATCACTGAATCTGAAAGTTAACAAAGGTCGTGAAATAGATGTGCAGAAGCAGGGGCTGGCGAGCTTCCCACAGCCTCGCACTTGAAACTTACCATTTCTGAGAAAAGTTCTTATTGTATCTCAGGCAGGCCCCTGACTTGCTCTGCAGCCGAGGAAAGACTGAATTTTTTATTCTCCTGCCTCCCCCTCCTAAGCACTGTGATACCCTTCTATACCAGGCTTATGTGGTGCTGGAGATCAATACCAGAGCTTCATGCATGCTGGACAAATCTCCACCAACTGAGCTGCATGCCCAGCCCTACACTTTGAAAAAATAGCTTTAAAGGAGGTTTTTATAATGTTTTGTTTAAAGACAGGGTCTTTCCTGTGTTGCCCATTATTGCCGGGAATCCCCTTTGTAGGTCAGGCTCACCTCCAAGTATGGCACTCCTTTTGTCTCTGCTTCCTGAGCACTGGAATGACAGGTATGTGTCTCACCATGCCTGGTTTATGCGGTGCTGGGATTTGAACCCAGGACCTCACAGAGAAACTTTGGAAAACCAACAAAACCCCACAAGCTTCACACTTAATGGTGTCAACTTCAAAAGTTTTCTCTCTGAGCCCGGGACGGGGACAAGCATGCATGCCATCACCACTGTCCATACTCATGTACAATGAGACGGGACAGATGCAGTGCAAGGCAAGGGATGAAAAGGAAAAACAAGTTGCCATCACCGCAGAGCTCTTTTTCTGTGATCAAACCGAGAAAACCATCAGACGTGAGTTTAACAACGACACGGATTGGATAAAAAACAAGCGTCTACTAAATCTCTAAACTTTAACGGCAGGACTGGGGGCATAGGTCACTGGTACCCTGAATTCCATCCGTAGCAACCCCACCTCTTAAAACAAAACAAAACAAAGACCTGCTGCATACCTTCTGTTGGCTAACAGAATTCAGAAATAAGAGGAACCTCTGACACCAGTAATAAACCACAAGGTACCTAAAAAATGACTAACAATGTGAGATGGCCATGCTTGCTTGTGGACAGTCCCTCAGAAAGGGTGGCATCGATGGAAAAGTACTTTGTTCATGAAGAGGAAAATCTGTCACTATAAATCCCTAGACTCATGATTCTTATTTTGTACCTGTAAATCTACTTGCTTTCATTCCGGTATACCTAAGAGCCAACAGTAAATGATTAAACATTCATAAACAGTCAAGCACAAATGATTAACCCTTTGTCAGACTAGAATATTGGTGAATACTTGAATGTAAAGTGAAGAATTCTGCAACTGAGTAAAAATTGAAAGCTGTACATTTAAAATGCATGTTTTAAAAAGCATTGCATTTACTTATGTGTGTATGCATACGTGTGTGCATGTGTCACAGTAAGAGTGGGCAGTCAGTACCCCGAGGCAGCCAATGCCCTCCCTCCACTATGTGGATCCCAGGGATCAGAGGCATAGGACTGATGAATATTTATGCTGAGTTCACTTTCTCCTTTTTATTCAGATCAGGACCCCAGATCACAAACTTGTGCTCCCCACATTAGGGTGGGCCTTCCCACTCAATCAACTTCTAGATAATCCCTTCCAGACATGCGAAGAGGCATGTCTCTTCAGTGCTCCTAGAACCTGTCAAGTTGACAAACAGGGCTAATCATCAGGGCATCCATGAGCATTTTTTTTTGTGCCAGTGAAACTTTGAAAATACCCTAAAATGCAGGATTAGGGCAATGGTTAAGCTAAGCATTTTACTGTGCTGAAGTGGTAGGTTGATTTAATATAATACCAACCTGTGCAACCAATTGTAAAGTTATTACACAAGAATTTACAAAATTAGTGCCTATATAAGCTCCTGTTACATTAACTTCAAATTTATGATTCAAATCCTGTAAGAATGTGTTTATGTGTGTCTATTAATAAATAAAATCAAGAGAAAGAGAGAACTGTAAAAGGCAACCTAAACATTTTCAAGGCTTATCTTAGGGTGGCCAGAGAGTGTGTTAATGTGATTTTTACTGCTGTCTTTGAAGTGTCCTGTGTTTCAGTGTCCCCCACTTTCATGTATTACTTGCATAAGAGCACTCGGGCAGCTCCCACTGCCTGCGGGATCAAGTCTCACTCCCGAGGCTGGCCAGCCCTTACTCTGGTGCTTTCTCTCTGCCCCCAAGCAGGCTTGAGTATGCCTACACACCCACAGCCTTCCACTTCCTATGCCCAACCTCAGGTGCCCAACCTCAGGTGCACAGCCCCCCACAGCTGAGGTGAAGAGCCTGCCCCTCCTCTCAGCAGGCAGCCTTTGGGAGTGGATCCTCTTGCATTCACAGCAACTCCATCAGACTCCATGGAGTCCAACTGGCAATTAGCCAAATACAGCTCATCCAATCTCTACCATTGTCTCCTTCGTCTGCTATTTGAATTTATTTAAACTTGTATGTTATTCTTTTCCTCCAGCTAGCGTCTAGGCTACTCCATGTTCTTCATAAAGCAGGGCAACCCCAGGCACCAAAGGATTCCTTCTGCTGCGTTTTCCAGCATCTGTCAACGTCATCTGACCAGATAGCCCTCAAATAGGGAGGCAGGCTGGCTCTCCAGGTGGGCCATGTCATCCCGAGAATCATAACAAGAGGCGTGCAGCATGGGAAGAACTCAATCCCAGAAACAGATGAGAGGGACACACCTGTCTCTGGACCACTGGGGTGGAGGTTAGCCTGTCAGAGCACCGTTAGATTCTGCTCAACCACTGTTCCTGTGAAGAAGAAGCCCTTGTGTCTTATCTGATGCTTCTTTCCCCTTGTTCCCACGACATGTGTTCCCTCTGCTTCCTGACTGCCGGGCCAGCCTCATGATGGCCATGCCTTCCCCGCCATGATGGGCTCTATCACCTCTGGAGCCGTACGCCAACGTAGACCTGTCTTCTCTAACTTGCTTTTCACTGGGGTGTGTATTATCCCAGGCATGGAAAAACGTAAAGCCGTGGTTTAAGTGTCTTATTATACCAGAATGAAAGAAAAGGAATTGAAGTAATTAGTTGGAAACTAGAGAGTTTGCCTCCTTTGTGACTATGGGGTGGGGGCAGCTCACAGGTAAATGAGTGCTGTGGTTTGAGTGTGTCCCCAAGGGTCCGCATGCTGAAAGCTTGACTCCCAGTAAGGTGTTGGCTGGACATGAAGCAGCCATTAAGAGGTGGGGCTTAGAGCCGGGCCTTTGGGCCATGGAGGGGCAATGCTGCCCCCTTCAGGGACTGATGTCTTTGACTGTAAATAAAGACAAGGTTGGCCCTCTCCTCCTCTCTCTGGCTCCCAGGTCACCACCTGGTCACTCCCTCTCACATACCCTAGATGCCACTCACCAAATGTGACACAACCAATAGGGATCGTACAGGGCTCAGTGTCATGCTTAAATCTCCAGAATGATAAGCTGAATATGCCTCCTTGACTTACAAATTGCCCAACTTCAGGTGTTTTTCTATAGCAATGGAATGCAATGGCGTTATAGAAAAGTAATTCCACAGTGATATGCAGAAGGGAATTTGGTGAGGCAGCTGGCCCTCAGTCAAATGGCCTCACTCCCAGAGACAGGGCCAACCCAAACTCTTCAGTCAGCCTCTGTCCTCTGATGCCAATTACCCTGATTTCTCCAAACATAAAACTGGGGCCATGGGATTTGCTAGTGCTGTGTAGCCAAGATCCATGGTGAGGATTAATTAGCATTTTTAAAGTGCTGTGGTTTGGGTTTGGTTTCTGTATTTTCTCAGGAGGAAAGCCAGGTCAAGATGGAGAGTTAGCCGCGAATGTTTGATAGATGTCACGGAGACGGAGACGTGTGGAGTTGGGAGACAGGGCATGTGGCTGTGGGCTGCTCAAGGAGTCAGGAAAGCCACACCCAGGAACAAGCAGCAGAGCTCCCCAGAATGGGGGAGGAGGCCTGGAAACCTCTGAAAATTCAAAAAGGGAAAAATAAAATGTGCCTGGGCTCTGTGAGGGAGAGCACAGAGTGACCCATGGCAAAGGAAGTGAGGCAAACTACAGATGACAAACACTGCAGCTTTGCAAGCAGTCTGCGAGCATGAAGGTGAGCTATGAAAAAAACTCCCTGCCGAAAGAACGGATTCAACGGAGAAGTCAGGGTCTAAGGGTCTGTGGGTCTGTGGGTCTGTGGGTCTGTGGGTCTGAAGGTCTGAGGGTCCGAGAGTCTGAGAGTCTGAGAGTCTGAGGGTCAATGAGTCTGAGGGTCTGTGGGTCTGAGGGTCAATGAGTTTGAGGGTCTGAGGGTCTAAGGGTCTGTGGGTCTGAGGGTCTAAGGGTCTGTGGGTCTGAGGGTCTGAGGGTCAATGAGTCTGAGGGTCTGAGGGTCAATGAGTCTGAGGGTCAATGAGTCTAAGGGTCTGAGGGTCTGTGGGTCTGAGAGTCTGAGGGTCTGTGGGTCTGAGGGTCTGAGGGTCAATGAGTCTGAGGGTCTGAGGGTCAATGAGTCTGAGGGTCTGTGGGTCTGAGAGTCTGAGGGTCTAAGGGTCTGTGGGTCTGAGGGTCTGTGGGTCTGAGAGTCTGAGGGTCTAAGGGTCTGTGGGTCTGAGGGTCTAAGAGTCAATGAGTCTGAGGGTCTGTGGGTCTGAGAGTCTGAGGGTCTGTGGGTCTGAGGGTCTGAGGGTCTGAGGGTCTGAGGGTCTGAGAGTCTGAGAGTCTGAGGGTTTGTGGGTCTGTGGGTCTGAGGCTGACAGCAGAGAACCCTAGTTACACACCAGTCTCCCTGCCCCACACAGCGTCACAACTTTGTGGACAGTGTGATCTCCACAGAGTCTTGAGTAATTTTCCAAACTTGACCTAACACATCATTTCTGACTATAGAAGTGACAATGTGCTCATCACTGGCACTGAAAACTATGGTAATACACAAAGTAGAAACTGCAGTTTCCTCCCCACTCCAACAGTCACAATATAACTGGTGTTCACAGCAGAGGGATCTATTTACAGAACAGTGCTGTGACTGTCCTCGACTTATTGGTGACAGAACAGATGACTGGAAGAACTCATCCCAGGCTCTCAAGAAATGAGTCAAACGGCCATTCAAACCCAAGCCCAACACTCCAAAATTCTACACCCTACATGAGCTGACACCACCCATTCCAACATTCCTCTTTTTCTACCTCCAGTGTAGCACAAGGCATGAGCGGGGTGCCCAGGGCCAGCTCCACAGTCAGAAGCAGTCACCACCCAGAGTCAGATTACACGTGAAGCTAGCAAGGCTGCTGTTGCTATGACAGCCATTCTCCAAGCTTTACCTCAACATGGCACACCCCAGCATGCCAACATTGAGGTGAGATGGCTGTCACTGCAGTCAACCTGGTTCACATCAGACCAGAGGACAAATGAGAGAGGCCTGGAATCAGTGTGGTTGGAAATGCCTGAGTTCAAGCTCCATTGTTTAATAGCTATGAAGGGCCTTAAACCTCAGTTTCCCCATGTGGGTTGGGAAAAGGAGGGTGTCAGGCTGGCTACCCAGGTGCCTCCATGCTATATATATATATATATATATATATATATATATATATATATATATACACAGCATGTGAGTTGGTGCAGCCTCCCACACTCGCCATATTCTGCAGAAAGAGGCCGAGCTGATCGGAGAGTGGGTGATACCATCACTGCTCTTCCTAGATTGTTCCAATAGAAGGGAATAGACGGCAACAGACCACTGGTCTGCATGCATTCCTTCATACATGCAAGGCACTGAGCAAGCCATACAGATGATGTCTGATGTGCTTGGAGCATTAGCTCTGGACGGAAAACAGGTAAGCACGATTAGGAAAAAAACGAGATCATGACAGGATGCCCTGAAGAGAACATAAGCACAGCTGCAGAAGCGAAAGGGACTGGAGTTTGGCGCTATCAGCACGGCACTTTGAATCTGCACTGTCCTCCACGGGCGCTTACTAAATTCACATCCCAGCCATGAACTCGCCTCAATCTGTCCCCTGTCCCTTCCCTGATGGACACCAGTCTGAAATACATCTTTACTCCCCTGAGTTGTTTCCATCTGATGATACAGAGACACCCAATACAGAAAACTGGCATCAGAGAGCGAAGCCGAGCTGTTGCTATAACAACCCTCGGCTTATTTCTGCTCACAGGTTAAAGATCTGGGTCTGGTCCGCAGTTGCTCGTCTCCACGAGATCTCAGGAGCAGGTGGGGAGGAGAGCTGCTTAGACGACGGCAGAAAGAAAGCTGCAAGAGAGGCTGGAGCCATGGGTTGGCTTATAACCTTCAAAGGCATCGCCACAGTAATGAGCCTCTGCTGGCCAGGCCATTTCACATTCAAATCATGACGCATTCGAAACTGGATGAGCCTTGAACCTCAAGCAGTTGTGGCAACTGTGCCAGAGAAAATTTCTGTGTGAGAGAGTGTCTTAGTTAGGGTTTCTATGGCTATCAAGAGCCACTACGACCATGGCAACTCTTATAAAGGGAAACATTTAATTAGGGCTGGCTTACAGTTTCACAGGTTTAGTTCATTATCATCCTGGCAGGACATGGTGGTGGGCAGGCAGTCATGGTGCTGGAGAAGGAACCCGGAGTTCTGCATCTTGATCTGCAGGCAGCAGGAGAGACTGTGTACCTCTTTGAATGTAACCTGAACATTTTTAGACCTCAAAGCCTCCCCCCCGTGACACACTTCCTCCAACCAGGCCACACCTCCTAACAGTACCACTCCCTATGGGCCAAGCATTCAAACACGAGTCTATGGGGGCCATTCCTACTCAAAGTTCCCAGGGAGGAAAGGGAGCCAAGCCCATTTCCACCATCATCACTAGCAGAAGTAACATCTCATAGTGACACCCAAAGAGAAGAGGCCTTCCACCTGAAGTGGTGACAGCACTGTGCAGAGCCTCTTCACAGAGTGGGACTTTGGTGGTAGGGACTGTGCTAACTTCTGTCAGTGTCCTTCACCAGTAGTTGGGCTCCTGCCAGCATGACGTGTGTGTGTGTGTGTGTGTGTGTGTGTGTGTGTGTGTGTGTGTGTGTGTGTGTGTCTCACACAGCTGGACTATTCTGGAGTTCTGACATCTGAGGTGAGCTGTGGTCTCAGCTTGAGAGGACCATCACCCCAGAACAGCCACGACCAAATCAGGCAACTGCAAACTGAGGTCTCTGTAGCGGTCCTTCCCTTGATCTGAATGGTGCTGGGAAACACAGAGTCTGGCACTGGAGACCCCTCGAGTCTATGCAAGCTAAACTCAGCCCCAGCATCACAGCTGCTTCCCCAATGTTTCAGGCTCCTCCAGGATTTCCCATAGCTCGTTGTAACAGCACCATCTCTCTCCCCAAGTCCTTACTGCTTACTTCTACGGCCCACTCCCAGGGAAAGACATGGGTCTAGGTCACTCCACTAGAGAGAAAGGCATGGAGGTATGAGGTGTTAGGATCTGCATGTGGCCTGCCCTCCACGGGCAACGTCCTTGGTCCTGTCCCGAATGCAGGTGGGGACAGCAGCTCTCCCTTCGAGTCAGTGAGCACCTCCCCTGCCTGGAAGCCATGTGTGAGGGTGGCTGAAGTTCCAAATAGATACTAATCCCTTCTGGTGGACAGCTTTGGAATCGCTCCTCTAGGTGTTCCTGGTGGAAATATGGCTATATCTATTTCCCAACTTCAGCCGGCCTCCAAAATAATGAATGAGTACAAATGTTTAGCAGGCAGTTTAGTAACTTCAGAGGCCACTGAGGATAGACCCCTTCCTCATGGTTGGCTTTGGTGCCCATCTTTTTTCCTGCTAACACTAGAAAGGAAAACATTACAACTGCCTCTCCTTAGGCCTCTAGCCAAAAGAATGGAACACCTCTGGCCCTGAATAACTCTGATCTCCTCCAAAGACTAGAACATTATATAATATGTTGTTTCTTCCCTTGAGCTGGGCCTGCCAGTCACATGGCCAGAGTTTACTCCCCAGGAAAGCTGATTCACCCTATAACACACTAAGGAGATGGGAGGAATAATTAACCCTTAATGAGATAACGTACTTACTTTTGCTTCTCCAAAGCCTCTCCCCTGATGCAGTTGCTTGCTTATCTTCACGGCTAAGCTTGCCTGCTTTTTGAGCTCCAAACTCAAAAAGTATAGTTTTCCTTCTTTTTCTGTGCCTTTTTTCGAAAGTCCAGGCATGCTTTCCTGACCCAAGCATGCCTTCCCTGGCAACCTGCTTTCTCACTCATTCTCTGCAGCCCACACCCCACCCTTCTGCCACGCAGCTATTTGCCAGCGTCCACTTAGGAACACGCCAGCTCTCACGGACCCTAACTCAGAGGACATGCTTTCCCTCTTCATTTTCCTCCATCTACCCGCATTCCGCAGCTGCCAAGCTTTACAGCAGGAGCACCCTGTTGTTTTACTTTCAAAATCTAATAAAATGGTCCCTGAGCTTCCTTCTGAGTCTGTTTTTAAATTCCTTTATTAATGAGACAGTGAGCCTAAGGAGGGAACCCCAGTTTCCCTGGATGTTCCCACTACTCTAAAGAGGGGGTAGGAAGAGTAACTGCTAAATTCAAGAACCAGCTTCTGAGGGGGCGTGAGGGTATGTGGAAGGCAGGGCTCCCCTGGGAAACATCCAGTGCCTGTTCGCATAGCTCCCGAGGTGAGGAGACATTGGTAAAGGAAGGAGGACAGGGCTCAGAGAGGTGAACTGGGTGTAGCAATAACAAGACCATGTATCAATCCAAATTAGTCTATTGTTTATAATGCTTCTAAGGCTTCTATTTCTATTCATTCATTTGTGACCGTGCCTGTGGCAACATTACTGCTTATTAACTGGTGTTCCCTCACAGTGTGCTCATTAACTATCCTCTGGTAACCAGTCTGGGAGGCACTAGAGTCAGGAGCCAACTGTGACTCTTGGTAACACGGGCTCAAATATCAGCCCTTACTTGATACGCTAGACTGGCTGCTTCTTGATTTCTAGAACACCTTCTTAGACTTTCCAGATGCTGTTGTCCTCTACGTTAGTATTTTCTTATAACTGGGTTTATATTTTCCCTGAAAATAACTGCATAGAAAGGAAAGCAGATTCATGTCTTCATGGTAAAAGGCAGTAGGCCCCCAAAGACAGCTTTTCCTTTTTCTTTTCTCTGACACAGCAAACTAAAGCGACTCACTCACAGCAGAAAAGGCCTGCAGAGCTGCTCTGTGGGAGGAGTCAGGCACCATGCTCTCTGCAGACACAGACAACAGAGAACATCTCACGTGTGTGAACCAGGTTGGTAAGGAAGGCCATCATCAAGTGGGTTTCCTTATAGGAGGCACAGAGGACAACAGAGGAAAAAGTGTCTCTGAATTAATGATCACAATGATGAAACTCAGCACAGTTGCCAAACAACACACTGGAAACATCCTTGTAACTCAGCCGTAGAGTCCCCTTCCTGACTTCCACACCCCTTCTAACCTGTATACTGCAGGAGCCCCTTGTCCATATTACTATTTTGCTAGGAGTACTTTAGGGAGGACAGTTGGTTACAACAAGAACTCTGCTGCAAACAGGGTTGAGATGGCCACATAAGAATCTGGTTCTAGTTGTCACTTCCAATGGCAAACTAAACTATAGCCCAGTGTGCGTACAGACAGGGTTTTTGCTTTTGTTTTGTCTGAGGATTTAGCAAATGAAGACAGTCTGCAGCCATTATGTGAGAAGCATATTCCCGACACCAGGATCAGGGTTATACAAGTTTTTAAATCTACTCCTGAATTCCCACCATTCTCCAGACACCCTGGGAAATTTTGATGATTCCTAGAATAGGCCATGCCTCTTAGGTGTGCAGGGGCAGGGAAAGTTTAGAAAGAACCATTGTAGCCTCAAGGTAACTAATCATACATAGGTCTCCAATCCTCTGTGCAGCTGATAAACTTATTTTCTAGTACCTTCTAGAATAGCTCTTCTAGACCAACAGAATTATAATGCAAATCACATGCATAATTCAAAGGTTTAAAGGAAAAAGAAACAGATGAAGCATTAATAGTATATTCAACTTAACATATTCAAAGTACTCATTCCAACATATGTGTACATTCAACATATTCAAAGTACTGTCATTCCAACATGTATGCACCATATGTGTTCCTAGTCTGCAAAGTCTGGTATGTATTTTATACTTAGAGCTGACATGTCAGCCCATAATTACCTACATTTCAAGTGCTCAGTAGCCACATGCAGCTAGGGGCTACACAATGGACAGCAAAAATCTAGACTATTTTGGCAGCCCTCAGTGTCTAACCCATATTCCTGCCTCTACTACTAATGTAATTTTACTACAATTGAAGAGACATTTCTTGCTTGTTGTTAGAATACTTTCCTTTTCCAGATTTAGTGCATCCACATGGTGGTAGTAGTGTTTAGCTTTTAAAAATTAACATACTGAGTATTAGATTTCATATGGCATTTTCAAACATCATTTGTTTTTCTTGTCCATCCCTCTATTCCCCTATCACCTGATATCCTTTTTCACAGTCCCTCTTTCCCCTTTCATGGTCTTCTTTATGGTTTCATGACTATAGATGCACTTACATATATTCATATAGCTAATCATTAAAAGCTAGGATCTGCATATGAAAAAGAACACACCATCTTTATTACTCTGGGTTACCTTGCTTAATATAATAATTTCCAGGTTCACCCGTTTTCCTGGAAATTTCATATTTTAATTACATCTAATCTCCTCTCCAACTGTCCACTCTGTGATCAAGTAATGATTAGTGAGTGCTTTTCAAGGTATATGGCATTTGTGTCAACTTATGAGGGTCAAAATACAAACAAGTCACAGATCTTGACATCTCGGCTCTTTGTGTCAGTGGGATATGTGTGCCCAACTAAACTATGTGATGCTATTTGGAGACACTAAGGAAGGGACAACTGCTTTTCACAGAACTTCTGGAATGCTCTGGAAACTACAGGGAGGCAGAAAATAGTCACTGAGCCTGGGGATGATAAAATCAAGTGCTTTGAAATGGCAAGCAGGACAGGTAATGTTGGGTAAGAACATCGCAAGGCCAGGTGACAGGGTCCTGGATGTTCAGGGCACAGTCAGGTTAATCCTGTGAGCAGGAATGTCTAAGGAGTGGGCTCTTATGGTCACTTGGAAAGGACAAAGAAGTAAAGAGAGTTGACCGAGGCAGTACAGTGTCTGGAAAGGGGGCGGTATGGCCCCCACATGAGTGCAGGCAATGTGACACCACCTGAGGAACTGGCAAGGCAGCAGTAGGCAGAAGGCTCGATGAAGCTGAAAGACTCCAGGATAGTTAGGAAACTCACACCTGTGAGACCCAGCAGGCTCTGCAATGCACCTGGCCAACCCAATCAGATGATGTGGAGGCTCATACAACCCCAGACTGGACAGTGGCTTGTTTGATGATGAATTTTCTGGAACTTTTAGGTGACACAGGCAATGACATGATATCGGTAGAGGAAAGGGTCTTGGGATTCCTGTGGGCTCCTGCTACATACAGCCAGCAAATGGCAAAGCCAGAATTTACTAACTTCACAGAATACTGAAGCCACCATGAAAGTACCAGAATACATGTCAGGAAACAACATTTACACTAACAGCAACTCTGGTAGGCAGGGAGCACTAGGTTAGTGTGCTAAACACAACAAAACATTTAACATGGCAGCAATGGCTGGGTACTCACATGGTGAACTGTCAAAAAAGTCCTGATCAATGTTATGCAGCAGCTCCACTCTGGGGGATGGGGTTCCTTCACTGGAAAAGAAATTTTAGGAAAAGTTAATTTCTTCTCAAATGGATATGCACATTTTATGACTTCTTTTCTTGATGCCTATAGAAAATAGCAAATCTGCCAGTTAACAATCTTATCATAACTCAAATGTATCCAAATGCTTTGGCTGATGAATCTTCATATGATCATTTGTCTATATCATAATAATTACTGAAAGCTCCACATAAAAATGTCAGTGTCAGGCATATGATGACACCATGACTATATTTGAATGCAACCACTCTTTATGGAAGAAACGTAAAACTCAAGTCATCACACTTGACGTCACAAGTCACATTGACTGTGTAGAAGGAAATGAATAACATCTTCCAAAATGATGGCACCAAAATTGGAACATGCTATATAGCAAAGGCTGGCCTTGAACTCCTGATCTTCCTGCAGAAGGTCTGTGGTTATATGCTTGTACCACCACACCTGAATCACAGATTTGATAGACATACAGGTTAAATACATGCCTAGAGCCACAACCTATAATGACCAAAGAACAAATTGATGACACTTAGTCCAATCCGTTCCTGTTTCAGCAGAGAAATTATGTCCTAAGTTACTGGAAGAATGTTGGGTTAAGTGACTTTGAAAGTTGGGCTCTTTAAACACTCTGAAGAATCCTGTTTATCTTGACCTCGTGGAAACCATGATCAATGTAAACCATTGGAAGAGAGCCCAGTATACTTGCTAATCCAGTACCTCTGCCATGTATTTTGCTGGTGGAAAAATATTGTTGACATCACAGGACTTATATACACATTAATAAATGATGAAGTTCTTGATATAACGAAGAAGACAGAATTTTCAGAAGGCCCAATGTCCACACCCAAACTAACAGTTAGGTGTCTATGATAGTTATTTTGGATTTCAAAGACAGCAAAATTTCAAAAAGTGCCATCTATCGATTTGTAACTTGGTGTTTTCCATGTAAGAAAATGTTAAAATATAATTAGTGAATTCAAAACCAAATAAAAAGGATTGTAACTATCATCACCATTATTTATTTCCTAAAGTAAGGTTAATTTCTCTCTCTCTCTCTCTCTCTCTCTCTCTCTCTCTCTCTACACACACACACACACACACACACACACACACACACACACACGCACGGCGGGGGGACACAACCTGAGTATATTTAATGTGAATATTTTACAAGAGTTCATTGCTCTTCTTTACTCCCACAAAACACCCCCACTTGAGAGCTGAAGGCAAATAACTCAGAGACAGCCGTAGTCTCCAGGGACAATACTCATGTAGGATGTCCCACAGTCCTCAGTCCTGAGAGGCAACAGTGCAGGATGGGTTGATATTGACAGCAAGGCATGTCTCCTAGGACCCTACTCTTCCCATTTTCTCCTGAAAATACTTAAATGTCTACCTGTAAATTCTGGAGACTGACAGCTAATTCCAAACTGGGTTTGGTAGCAGAGGCTCTGAATGCAAGGAAGGGAAGATGTACAAAGGGAATGGTAACTGTAAGAAAGTGTGAACAGAAGACTCGGGAGTAAAGAGCGGCACTGCTCCTCCAGAGGAACCGAGTTCAATTCCCAGCAACCGTGCCAGACGTCTGCAACTCTATCTCCAAGTCAGAGCCTCTGCAGGTGCCCGCACTCATGTACCCACACTTATACAATTAATATAATAATAAAACAATAAATATATCTTCCAAAACAAAAAGGGAAATGTGAACAGAAAGATGATGATAGTGTCTTGGGCATAAAAACAGCAAATAGAGTTAAGCTCCTGAGTAACAATAGCAAGGAAGGAAGTTGGGAGGGGGATATCAGAATGAAAGCGGTAAATCTGCATTGCTTAGGAAGAGGACAAAGCTATTTGTTAAATTTAGATATAACTAAGTGAAATTTATGTGTTATATTTTTAAGGAAAAAAATTAAAAACAGCTATTGTTTCCTGGACCACAGAAAATGTGAACAGTTCATTCAATTTAAGAGAAGGTTAGAATGAAGGAGGGAACCCTGTAAACTTCAGCTTTTCCATTCCTATGTAACCACGCACCTTTAAAACCAGAGCTGTTCACAGTGTCCCAAAATATTAGGCATAAGAAAATAAAGGATACTTTTCTAATAACTCCGGAATTCAATGTGAATTATTATTTCTCCTCATTATTTCATTATTCACAAGAGCCACAAATATCTCAAAATAAGTTAGTAAGATGGAGTGACTTTCTGGACACTCTTGTTGACTATTGCTTGGGAAAGTTTTCACAGGCAGATTTCTCATGATGCCAAAAGGATCTTCAAGTCCCCAACTGTCATAGTGTGTTATGATTCTACTTTTAAAATATGCTAATCAAGATACTTTAGTGAGATGTGGGTAAAAGACATGCCAAGAAAATACAATGTGTGACAAGTGGTTAAAACAATGACAAACACACTTAGAGACTCTAGATTATTAAGAAAATGAAATCGACATTTAGGAAAATTGAATAATATATAAATCGTGGATTGCCTCGTCTTAAAAGCATGTAAAAATCTCAAGATAAGCTCATATGATAATCCACATGGGCTAACCCTTTGGAAACAGATGGATTTTAGAAATTCACAGATAATTGTTTTAAAATGTTTAGAAACATTTCAATAATTGTCTAGAAAAACATGCCCAAGACCCTGGCACCCTAGCTTCTTAATTAGAATGCTGCCAGTCGGTCTGATACCTGTTAAGTGGTGACGGCTTTGCCAATAAACAAGAATATGTTCTCCCATGGTGAGGAAATGATACTGCCACCGCAGTCCAAAGTCATGGAGAGGTGAAGCTTTAAAAGATGCACACAGGGCTGTGGATACAGCTTGGTGATAGAGCAATTGCCCAGGATGTACTAGGCCCTGGGCTCTGTCCATAGCATCACACAAAAGCAATGCAGCTGTGTACAAGAAGGGAAGAATATGGCCGGGCGGTGGTGGTGCACGCCTTTAATCCCAGCACTCGGGAGGCAGAGGCAGGTGGATCTCTGTGAGTTCGAGGCCAGGCTGGACCGACAGCCTCAAAAACAATACAAAGAAACCCTGTCTCAAAAAACCAAAAAAAAAAAAAAAGAGAGAGAGAAGGGAATAATATGGAAAAATACACACCAAACTGTTCACTGGGATGAGGAATAAGTGGACTTGTAGAGGACTTCTATTTTCTAGCATGCTTTTAAACCATTAGTAAATATAAGCATAGTCAAGAACAAGTTACTGAGCACTTGGGGAAGAGCCTGGGCTATAAAATAGCAGCAGCAGCAACAACAAATGTATTGTCCATGGAAGCATCCAGGATGACATAAACACAACACTTAAAACAATAACAAGGTTAAAGCTCAGATGCTCACATAGTCTAAGAGATTAAAGGCAACTATCCACCTCAACAAATACAGTGTATGGGTAGTATTAGAATGTGTTAGTAAATATTTGGAATTTAGTTGTATTCTATTAATCACAATAACTGATCACCAGTCTTGAAATTTCCTTGCAGGTCTTTGAAGAAGATTGTCTTTATCTATAGTTGGAAATAGCAATGGCTTTAGAGTCACACTTTCTCAAGTTCCATTGCTGAATTCACTTCTTTCGCTTTCAATGAAGGGTTCAGAGTCTCAATGCTTAGGATGAGGGGATGAGAGTTAAGAGGAGCAAGAGGGGGAAAAAAGGAAATTCCAAGGGAAGAGAAAAGAAAACATAGGGGAGAGGGAAAGTTGGGGAAGGGCATGTAGTTTCCATTCATAGTTACAAAGTTAGTTATCATCCCAGGTCCATTAAAATAATTATTTCGCTTTTTAAATAGCATCAGCTCAGGAAGGCACAGCTGAGTGTAGTAGAATGTACTTGTAATCCCAGTAACTTGGAGGCCGCAAGTAACATGGAGGCTGAAGCTGAAAGATCATGAGTTTTAGGCTAGCCTGAACTGCATAGCAAGACCTCAGTTTAAAAAACTAAAACCCAAACCAAAATCCATCCAATTAATTTCAGTAGATACTAGAAGTTAAGCACGTGGGTTTCTAGAACATGGGTGTGAATCTGGGGATGGGGACCTGGGAGGGAGGATGGTGAACTGAGAAGTGTCAGAAACTTCTGCAAGCCTTATAGTTTTGCCTGGGAAATTATGAAGAGAGAATATTTGTAAAAGGAAATAACCAATGACCCAGGACCATACTCTGAGAGGCAAATAAAATACAATATAAACTGGGCCATGGCTTCTGTATTCCCTTTATAAAGTAGTCAGACAGCTGTATCTTTAAATTTTAAGACATGTAATGTTCTCTCAAACACGAAGAGAGCATCTCCCATTTTAGAGAAACACACCAGTGTTAACACAGCCCACTTGTTATGAACTATGTATTTAAAAAGATGAGCTGTGGTCTGCTACCTATGAATTTTCCCTATTTGGAGGCATTTGAACAGGTACTGAAAGTTTAGCTGCTTAAGTAACACTGTCTTTAACAAGCAATGGATTCCATTTGGGAGACTCCATCTCTCAATCAAGACTGCTGATGTTTGTGGAAATATTTTTTCCATAATCATACACCTGGTCTTATGTAAATCAAAGCAAGTGTTGCTTTTATAGCAGCAGAGCTGGAGAAACAGTGCTGTGCTCACCCCCTGCTGGGCTTGTAAGAATGGCCACAGCAATAAATAAACAAAGAACTATGCAAAGAAAAACGACAGAATCCTTGTACATCTCTGGAAATCTCACTAGTGTCAGCTCTCTCCTCAAAGCTATAATGACTCCAACTATTATGGTATCTCTCATCCCGGTCTCTTCTATTCTTACCCCAACTCAGCCTTCCTGCTCCCCCATGTCTTCTTCTACCCTCCTCTTATCCCCCTCTCTTTTTCCTGGTTCCCTCTCTTCTCCCCCCATGTTCCCAATCTGCTCAGGAGATCTTGCCTCTTTCCACTTCTCTGGGGTATAATGCATATCTTTTGGGAACTTCCGTTTCCCAGACTCACTGGGCCTGGGATTGTAGGCTGACACTGACCTG